TGATAATAATAAATTAATAACGATAAAAAAATGTCTCCTTTCACCCCCTTTCCAGCTCTCTAATAATGTACTGTCGTCTGCTTTTGTCTCCACTTTCTGCCCCCACCTCCTTTGCCCCCTCCTCTGGGCTCCTGGCTCTTTCTGCAGCCTTTCTACTGTTAATCCTTGGCTCCTTCTTACTGCTGTCTTTCAGCCACACCCCTGATCTTTGGGTAGGAAAGATCTACACCTAGCCTTCTCGGACTAGGGCGGGAAAAAAACTATCATCATAAGTAGTCAGGCAGCGGCATAACAAAGAAAGGGTTGAATTGGAATCCACAGGGTAAAAGATCAAGGGGAACACCGCGAGGAACTTGGAGAAGAATCACAGATGATGATGATGATGATGATGATAATGATGATGATGATGATGGTGATAAGCTGTCTTACCTTTCCACCTTCTGTAAGGTCTGAGAGCATGACGATGACCTTACACTTCTGTTCCCACACCATCCTCCAGAAGTCTGGCACAGTGGAAGGCATGGGGCCCTGGGCAGCGATGTATTCCCGCACAGAGTTGTAGCCCTGCACACACACAGACAAACATATAATAGACAAATCTTCTCCAAGTCAAGACTTATCCAGATACAGCTTCAGATTCACTAAAGTACCAACATTCTGTTAAAATTGTTACAGAGTCCATAGTTGTGCAAAGTTTTGGTTTATATTGAGTGAGAGCAATAACATCAAGGATTAGGAGAATAATAATGAGAAAAATGATTTTTGTTGTTGCCCTACAAAGAGGAACGATAACATCAAGGTATGGACTGGCCTATAGTATGACCGAGTGCATGACCCCAGCTAGCGAGCCTGAGCAGTGGCGCGTCATTATACATCAACCTGTGAGCCAAAGATGACACCTCCAGGTGTGCAGGCATCTCTGTATGACCACTGATCAAGCGGGTCACTCACCTCTATGTAGTTGGCATTGATGAAGTCCATCGTATCATCCTCCTCTGGCAGAACGTTCAGCTTCACACGACTGTGGTCATCTGAGGAGCAAGAATAATTGTAACAATAAATAACAAGAATAATTGAAACAATAGATAATAACAAGAATAATTGTAACCATAAATAATAAGAATAATTGTAACAATAAATAACAATACGAATAATTGTAACAATAAATAACAATACGAATAATTGTAACCAAAAATAATAAGAATAATAAATAGCATTTATGCTAGGCATTACATTTTCAAAAATATGATCAATGCGCATTACATTAATAAAATAATAAGAATAAGAACACTCGCGAAACCTGGGCCCTAATCCATACCAAATTATTTGAACTAATTGTGACGCATTATGGGAAAGGTCAAGGAGACATTTTTATTTTTCTGCTGGAACAGCCACTGAGCGCGTCAGTTTTGATTGATTTTCCCGGGTAGACCTAATTTCCTATTGCCATGACAAAACTGCCCAGTATGTGAGGGGAGTTCACTGCTGGAGCACTCTGGACTGAGTGAGTTACTTTTTACTTTTACTTTTTTCTTCCGCTTGTACCCTGGGGTGTCGCGGGGAGACACGGGTGTCTGTCTGCAGCAAGTCGTGTGGCCTGTAGGAGGGACATCCCATGATCTTTAAGGGTGTCTGCCACAGATTCACTCCATCGTCGCCTTGGTCTTCCTCTGGCTCTCCATCCAGAATATTTAGTGTTGTATGCTCTCAGAGCTGGATGGTTTGAGAGCATACAACACTAAATATTCTGGATGGAGAGCCCGAATGAGTTAACCGTTCATAAAAACTGATTCGGAAAGTTACCTCCGATCCCAATGTGGCAGAGCCAAACCAAATCAATAATTCCATAATTTAATCCCCGTCAAACTTACAGGGCAGAATGTCCACATATCTGTTCTTGACTCTGTTCCCCTCTCTCTGGGCCTCTTCCTCTGTGTGGGGAACTCTCGCACCCAACTTCTTTATGTCCTGCCGGCAGAAAGGATTACAATCATATAAATGATACATTATAATAATAATCATTGCATTTATATTGCGCATATTCATGTTGAGAGAGTGCGGTGGTGGAGCGGTAAGTGGCCTCAAGGTTGTCTTCATGCAGCTTCTTTCGATTATTGTATGTTATTTTCACAAAAGAATTTCAGTAAGAAGAGAAAAATTACAGCTGACAATAACACAACATGTCACATCAGACACATCTCTCAAACCACAGGCGGGAACTTATCGCAGATCGTGAAAGTTACATAAACAGATTTGTTTTGGTTGTTTTGGTAAGGTTTTACGGCACTCACAAATGCATAAGGTCATATGAGTGCCAAGGGGTGGATGTCAACAGAGAAGTCCATACAGGGAATCAGGCTTAATATATCCCCTTTGAGAATGACCTTGGAGGCATACTTTTCAAGTGGCAGGGCATCGCATCATAAAAAATTTGAAATCTAGAATCCGAGTCACTTCTCAAATCAAGATTGTTAATGAAATTTCTTTACAATACACCGGCTTCATCTGCATTCTTTTTGGGTTATGTGAACGAGGTAGATCTAGATCTAAACCTGCCAGTGATACAAAAACTTAAGCAAATTCTAAATAACAGCAAAGGATGGGACAAAAGGGTATAAAAAGTAGAAATAGGACTAAGAAAGTGGCGATGGATGGGACACACCCTCAGAAAGCCCAGTGGACACATCACAAGACAGTCGCTGCAGTGGAACCCACAGGGAGCACGATGCAGGGGTAGGCCACAGGAAACATGGAGGAGATGTGTGGAAAAGGACATGAGAGAGATGAAAGTCTCTTGGAATGAGCTAGGAAGGATGGCCCAGGAAAGAGATAAAAGGAAGGATCTTGTATGTGGCCTATACCCTGCCAGGGTTTGAAGGCATTGATGATGATGTTGAAGAAAATGCACACCATTCATTTTGGCAGATAGGAGTTAACAGAGAGGAAGTGAGAGAGAGAAGGATAGAGAGAAGGATAGAGAGAGGGAGAGAGAGTATGTGTATGTGCGTGTGTGTGTGTGTGAGAGAGAGAGAGAGAGAGAGAGAGTGATAGAGAGAGAGAGAGTGATAGAGAGAGAGAGTGAAAGAGAGAGAGAGAGAGAGAGGAGTGAGAGATAGAGAGGAAAGAGAGAATGTTTATGACGTGGAGCGGTTCAAACACGTAACAATGTAATAGTTATATTCTCTGTTGTGTGCATGGGTGAGTGCAGAATAGGACCTATGTAACACCGCTGTCACTGTATATGGGTGAGTGCAGAATAATGTGACCTTTGTAACACCATTGTCACTGTACATGTGTGAGTGCAGAATAGAACCTTTGTTACACCATTGTCACTGTATGTGACCAAAGCAAATAAAAGCACATTGATGCATTTTTTAAAAAAACGAAATAAAAAAGGAGTTAACAGAGACGACCAACCTCAAACTCTGCCTGGAACAACATGTTGGAGTCTTTGTGCAGCTGATCCAGAGTCTCCTTGAACTCCCGCATCTTGATGGGCCTTGCAGAGAAATAGATCATAACATGAATAATAATACACAGCATTTGTATAGCATAAGTCCCTGCTCAACAGCAAGCTATATGAGCCTCACAATCTATACTATTACCCCAGCAGACCCGAGAGCATTCTGAAACAGTCTCAACTTCCTAGGAAGCATACAGTGCAAACGGCCATTTATAGGCACTCAAACACTAGCATACTGACAAGATCTTTCACTGTCTATGGCCGGGCACCCATTCCCACCTGGGTGAAGTGAGGAAAATTTGTGTAAAGTGCCTTTCCCAAGGACACAACATCAGGCCCGCGGTTCAAACCTCTGAACCCACAACCTCACGATTACAAGTCTGGTTGCCTAACAGTGTCTAAGTACATATCTGACAGAGAAATAGACCAACAGTGTCTAAGTACATATCTGACAGAGAAATAGACCAACAGTGTCTAAGTGCATAAATAACTTTGTCAACATCATACCTGATACAGTAAAATGTAGTAATATCTGAGAAAGTCTGCTAATTTTATTTTTTAAAAAATTAAATCTATATTTTTTATACACAGGTAATTCTTTCCAACCCTACAAAATAAAAAAAAATTGAATGAAAAAAATTAGTATGAACTTGTATGTAAAGACTCAGTATAGTACATGTTGCTTGACGCTATGAAAACTGAAGAGAAGATAAATGTAGGAAATAACCAAAAGAAAGAAACAAAGGACAAATGTACAATAACAAGTTGGCAGTATTTGCGTCAACTAAGTGAACCATGATTTGTAAGACTTGCAGCGCCTCACATGAAAAAAGGTCTTTAAAATCTTGAGGAGTAGAGTACAAACGTAGCGCTAAATGAGACAAAGAAAATAGAAGATTTGTTTGACATATGAAAAACAAAGACAAACATATGCATTTTCAACATTTTCAAGAAAAGTTGAGTTGGGATTGTTTTATCAAAATCATTCCCTGTACATTTTGTCATCAAATGATTACATCCTAAAAGAATCGACATTGCACAAGATAAATCATTTTTAGTAGAGGTTTTTCTCACCTTCGTCTCTTGATCATCTCCGTCTCCTCAAGGGCGTCAGGCTGCGCAGGTCTGGTCTCCCTTCGAGAAGAAAAGGAAACAAAATTATGTACAGATAAGTTAGAAAGCAATAATAACCAAAGTAACCAAAGACAACCAACATCTCTTCGGCAAAGTATTTCTAGCCTCTTCGCTCTTCATTACGGCCCTGAGGAGACCTCTATAGGAGGCTACAGTCAGTCCCTCCCCAGGTGGCTGTCAAGACTTCACATACTTGTTGCTGTTGTTACAGCTGCTGTTGTTGTTGTTATTGTTATTGTTGTTGTTGTTGTTGTTGTTGTTGTTGTTATTGTTGTTGTTGCTGTAGTTGTTGTTGCTGTTGTTGTTGTTGTGTTGGTTGTTGTTGTCGCTGTTGTTGCTGTTGTTGCTGTTGCCGCTGCTGTTGTTGTTATCGATCCAGCAACATTCACATACTTGAAACCATCCAAGAGGAGAAAATCAAGGCACACTGATGTACAAAACTGTACGGAACACAAAATACCACTGACCCACTGTGCAAATGTACAAAGCCCCAATATTTGGAAATTTTTTTAACTTCTGGTTTCTTAATCTGAAGTATCGGTTTAATGCGTTCAAGGTACATGGAGTTGAAATTCAAATTCTTAATGTTGAAAAAAAGCAAGAAAGTTTAGTTTTAGTATTTTAGAGTCTTATTGCACTTGAAACACAATCATACCAGAAGAAAATAAAGGTGTTACAAGAGAGTAACAAACACAAGAAAAGGAGGAGAGATAATGACTCTAGATGTTGGATAGGAAAGAAGGAGCACACTGCACCAGAGCACCCGCCAACCACCCATGGAGGAGAGATAATGACACCAGATGTTTGACAGGAAAGAAGGAGCACACCACACCAGAGCACCCGCCAACTGCCCGCACAGCGAGGGTTAGCAGGTCATTTTACATCATTTTTTTAGGACATATATTCCACGACCGGAGAACTCACTTGTACTTTTTGCCCTTCTGCTTTCTGCGGCGGTGCACAAAGAAAACGGCTCCCAAAATGAGCGCAATGACCAGCAATGAGCAGACAACGGCCACAACAATGATAATGATATCGTCGTCATCCTCTTCCACTGGGGAGAAGATAAAAAAGGCAGCAGTCAGTGACACAACCCATACTACAGTACAGCGACAGTTAAACAAAATGTACCCTTTAAAATCATATCTCATAAAAACAGCCTATAATAGAGTAGAACCGTAGTTAAACAAAACACATCCATTAAGAAATGGCCATGTTTATATCTCATAAATACCCCCCATCATACAGTACAACTGCAGTTGAACAAAACATGTCCGTTAAAAAAAAGGCTTTGTTCATGCCCAACAAACATGAACCAGGATTTAATTTTAAAATGTATCTTCCCCCCCCCCCCCCCCTGGCCCCCCCCCCCCCATCGATGATATACATCTGAAAAATGTTTTCGTAATTGTTATAATTGTTATTAATATTTTTATTATTACTTTTATCATTATTATTACTATTATTATTATTATTAAAAAACAATGGACATTATTTGGAAAGAAAGCACTGTCCACAATATATTCAACAACAAACTCATTTCCAGGAATCCAGCAGCCTCTACGTCGCACATTTAGACAAACTGCATGTTCACAAACAGTGACCAGTTCTTAGTTGTTGTTGTCTTCAACCCTTCACCAACAGTGACCAGTTCTAACCTGTTGTCATCGCCTTCAACCCTTCACCAACAGCGACCAGTTCTAACTTGTTGTCATCGCCTTCAACCCTTCACCAACAGCGACCAGTTCTAAGTTGTTGTCGTCGTCTTCAACCCTTCACAAACAGTGACCAGTTCTAAGTTGTTGCCGTCGCCTTCAACCCTTCACCAACAGCGACCAGTTTTAAGTTGTTGCCGTCGCCTTCAACCCTTCACCAACAGCGACCAGTTCTAACTTGTTGTCATCGCCTTCAACCCTTCACCAACAGCGACCAGTTCTAACTTGTTGCCGTCGCCTTCAACCCTTCACCAACAGCGACCAGTTCTAACTTGTTGTCGTCGCCTTCAACCCTTCACCAACAGCGACCAGTTCTCAGTTGTTGTCGCCTCCAACACTTCACTGCAGGGGCCTTGATGTCTTCGTTTGCACACACAACAGCAAACGTTCATTCAAGAGAGATTTACTTCATTGTTTCAATGTTTCAGGACACAACATCCCTGCATTCCAGACACGTCCATTGATGCTCTGTTGCTCTCTCCAAAATGTCGCTGAGGATCTTTCTGCTCACTGTGTCAGTGCATATCTGGTTGAACGTTCTTCTGTTCTTTCCTGCAAGGGTGCCAGATTTTCTGCTTCCTTTAAATGTAAGGAAATATGCCTGTAGTTATTGTTACCTTGTGTTTTGAAGACAGAGTCATCGTTTAAGTAATCCTGACAGCCTGCTCCGTTGCACACGATAACGAGAACTCTGTTGATGAAACAAAAGTCCGGTATATCAGTTGATGAAACAAACGCACAGTATGTCAGCTCTATCTTTTCGGTTTTAGTAAGGCTTTACGACGCTTGCAAAAGCATAAGGTCATATGAGCGCCAAGGGGTAGATGTCAACAGAGAAGTCCAAACGAGGAATCAGGTTTACTCTTCTCACCTCTCTGCTTTGACTATCAAGGCTTTCCGGAAATAGCAGTTCACAAGAGAGTGATAAACATACAAAAGAAGTAGAGGAAAATGACGATAGTAAGGATGGGGAAAGAAAAAGCAGCACTTCCCCCTATGTTGTTGCGCACAGTATGAGCATGACATTGATAAATCAGCCCATTTACAATTCTACTGTACATAAGAACAGGTTAATATCCCCCCCTTGGGAATAGCCTTGACACTTCAGTCAGTAGTACTGCCCGGGGGGGGGGGGGGGGGGGGGGGGGGGGAAGCAATCCTTGTTATCCATAAACCAAACTGTATGTATTGCATGGAACATTCATTTTTATCCAGTCTGATGTGTATTCGAAATCCAAGCGAAATCCGAAACGAATGTGCACTTTTTAATATGGTTCCTACATTTTAAGTAGAATACAATCAGAATATAGGTAATTGCAATAGATATAATCAGATTCTTCTATTGATTCCTATCAGTCTGGTATATGACAATACCTATTAGAGTAACTTAGAGCCTCCAAGTAATGCATTAAATAGAAGCACACCATGTGAAAAATTAAACAGGGAAAATAACTCTGTCCAGAGCCTGAAAAAATCATGGGAGGAATCAGTTAAACAAGAGTGAAGACAGAGAGCAGTACGAGACGCCGAGAACTAGGATGACAACACTGTGTGCCCAAAAAAGGAGAGAGACGGAGCCCTCAGTACAGTGAGACTTGTACACTTTAGACGGCCGCCACAGTAACATCAAAGGGAACTCACTGATACTGTTGTCCGGCAGGAAGTGGGCCATTGCAGAAGTCAGTGCCGGTATCAGAACAAGAGTTATCCTCCCCAACTGTGAATACGTATTGCCCCCCTGGCGTTCCTGGGGGAAAAAAAAAACAATTTGTAGGGAAAAAAAAGTTTTGTATTAGTTAGTGTCTTACGACACTTGCAACACAATAAGGTCATATTATAGGTGCCAAAGATCAGAGGTGTTACAAGAGAGTAACAAACACAAAAAAGAGGGAGGAGAGATCAGAACAATAGATGTTTGACAGGAAAGAAGGAGCAAACCACACCAGAGCACCCGCCAACCATCCACGAAAAATAATAGGGGGATTATGAAAAGGCAGAAAGTTGCTGCAGGTATGACAATGACAATGACAATCTTTCACAATCTTTATTCATCTCGCAGGGAGAAATTTGTCTTGGTCCTTAACAATGGCAGTAGACGTTACAAAAGTTAGACCTAAAGTGTACCGTTTACTGCGGGGCGATAGTTGAAATTCCGATGTCAGTGGGTGGCTATGGTATGACATGAAATACAAAGGTACTAGGTTCCTGTTTGCGTTTTTTTGTTTTTGTTTTGATTTGTCTTGCTTCTTTTTGCACCTAGAACGAGAAACATGGGGAGGGCAGCGACAACTTGCAGAAAAATTATTCATTTCTCAAACTGATTTATGTACTCTCTTAGCTTTAATTTAAGCTCATATACGATTTCATTTCAAAATCAAAAGTTGGTTAATCTTTTAATCACAGGCTCAACTTCTTCAGTATATGGAAAGTTTGACACCCAAATTTCAATTTTTAGAAAGGCCCTTTCATCCAGCAGAACCCTCCTTAGTTGATCCTTTCATCCTTACAGAGATCTTGTTAGTTGATCCTTTCACCCTTACAGAGTTCTTGTTAGTTGATCCTTTCACCCTTAAAGAGATCTTGTTAGTTGATCTTTTTCACCTTCACAAGAGCTCTCGAAGCTATCACAAATCTGCTTTTTCAACTTACAGAGCCCTCATTAGTTGTTTTTTTTTAACCCCCCCCACCCATTACTTGTTTCTTCAGACCTATCTACGGTACTTGACAAGTCCCTGACCCACTGAGGGGAATATATTTATCTAAATTTGTATCTCCCCCACAACCAAGTCCAGTCTTACTTAACAGATCCTGGTGCCAGCCCCGTGGAGTGGCTCGGTACATGCCAGTAAATCCTTCCTTCTTAGCCTTGGCCCATGTCTTCAAACTATCCACATCCACTGCCCGCTTTCTCCGGCCTGAAAGAGAAAGCCATTTAGTTTTAGTTTTAGTAAGAGTTTTACAGCACTTGCAACACAATAAGGTCATATAAGTGCCGAAGATTAGAGGTGTTACAAGAGAGTAACAAACAAACGGGAGATAAAGACGCTACATGTTTGACAGGAAAGAAGGAGCAAACCACACCAAAGCACCCACCAACCACCCACTACAAGAGAGTACCTAACACCAAAAAGAAGGAGCGGAGATAAGGACAATAGATGTTTGATAGGAAAGAAGGAGCAAACCACACCAAAGCACCCGCCAACCACCCAAAGAGAAAACCATTTACAACAGATTAAGAAGTTGAAGAAAGTGACATCGATGAAACAAGAACATTCTCCATATAACCTTTGACAAAATGTGTTCTACACCCTCCATCGACACAATTTTCACCATTTATGAGTTGGGCAGATTCGACCCTGCAGAGTGGGATACAACATCCCAGCAGACGAATAAAGTGCCAGTTCACAAAATGACCAGTCAAATTACAGGCCAGTGAAGTCACATAGAATTGACCGTGCTCATACTATGGCTCAAAACTACATTTCCTGGTACATGGAAGCCACCTTAGAGCTCTGTAAAATTATCAAACAATTCTATTTAACCTCCCAGATATGTAGAAATTTGTTTTCTAGTGGCCAGTTTCAGAAAGAAATGTTGAAAAGAAGATCCTGGAAGCTTACGGTGCAAGTAGTCGATTAAGTTCTCAAATACTAACCTACTGACAAGATCTTCAGATGTCCATTCCCACTTGGATGAAGTGAGGAAAATTCTTGCAAAGTGCCTTTCCGAAGGACACAACATTGGGCCCCGGGCGGGACTTGAACCCATGACCTTTTGGTTGTTCAGTATTAGTATGAGTTTTACGGCACTTGCAACACAATAAGGTCATATATACGTGTCGAAGATTAGAGGAGTTACAAAAGAGTAACAAACACAAAAAAGAAGGAGGAGAGATCAAGACGATAGATGTTTGATAGGAAAGAAGGAGCAAACCACACCAGAGCACCTGCCCACAACCCACGACCTTTTGATTGTGAGCCCCACAACTTTACTTGACAGAAAGAATTCTTTTCCCAAAACTTTTCACTTTTCAAGACAGGAAAGAATTCTTTTCCCAAAACTTTTTCACTTTCCAAGACAGGAGCTGCTCACCTGCCCCAGAGCCTCCACACTTATTCTTACAGACGGCGAGAACAACTTTCGTCAAACTTCCCTGTCTGGTGTTCAAATCTTTGAGACAAGACAAACACACAGTCACTGGGAAAGACGTCAGGGTGTTCTTGCTGGCAGACGACTCTGCTGTGAAATCTGTAGCCGTGTATTCACTCACTTCAGGGACTGTGTGTGTGTGTGGGG